TTTCCCTCTTTCCTGCCTCACCTCTCTCTCTTATTCACTCATTTGAAGTCTTTCAGATGCAACCAACATGACTTAAGTAGGAAAATATATTGTGTAATGCTTACATTTACCTACATAACAGCTAATTTTGCTATTGCAGAAAATAGAGCACTTAATTCTTCACCTCTTATCAATTAAGGTAAAGGGTTGTGTTATAGTATAATATTGATAATACATCTCTTCTTTGGGAAGTTTTAATTGTCCTTTAGAGAAACCAGTCCATACATTTTAGACCAGTCCAAAAGCTTCTAAGTTTCAAGAAGTTATCTTTACAACAGAACTCTGACAAGCATTGCAACTTTTGAGAGTAGAATTTTGTTGAATATTTTTTTATATCTTGTTTCTTGTTTTTCAGTTGCAATATTGTTTGATCTTATAAATCTTTTGTCATGAAGTTTCTTATGGGATTATTTGTTCTTCCATAGAATATATAATGAGAAATCATTTTATGCTTGAATTTTGGAAGAGGGATTGGCCATTTTTTTTTTTTTTTGGTTATTTTTATTTATTTGTCATGCTCCTCGAAAATTAAGCCTCAGCATATCTGTTTAAGAAGTTTATTGACAATTTTCAGGTCTGAAAAATTAAAAAGATATGAAACAGGTGGTGCTTAATTTTAGATGCACATTAAAATCACCTAAGGATCCTTAAGAAAATACTGATGCTTGGGCCCCACAATAGACCCAGTGTATATGGCATTGCTCTAACAAAGTACCACAAACTGGATGGTTTAAAACAACAGACATGTGCACTCTCACATTTCTAGAGTCTAGAATTTTGAAATCGAGATATCGGCAGCATCATGTTCCTTCTTAGAGTCTAAGTAGAATCCTTCCTTGCCTCTTTATAGCTTCTGGTGGTGTTCTGCAATCTTTGACATTCCTTGACTCCAATCTCTGCTTCCATCTCCATATGACTTCTTGTAAAGACACCAGTCATGTTGGATTAAGAGTCCATTCTACTTCAATATGACATAATTTTAACTAATTATATCTGCATATTTCCAAATGAAGTCACTTTCATAAGTATTGGGAGTTAGGACTCCAGTCTTTTCTGAGGACATAGTTCAATCCATAACATTCAGTAAGCCAGAATCTATGAGAGTAAAGCCCAAACAAAGACATGTTTAAAACTTTCCAGTTGATTCTAATACAAAGCATGAGTGTGAACTATCACCGGGTTAATGGAACCTCTAAGACCAAGGACATGCATTACTCTCATTCTCACGGGTAGTCTTTGTTTTTTGTATTATATTAGTCATTCACATTTTGAAAACAGCCTCCTCTAGAACAATTATATTTTATAACAATTTTCTTTTAAAATTTTAAAAGTCTTTTAAATATTTGCATCTTTGCACCCTAAGAAGTAATGACTTATTTATTGTTTCCTTTGTATCATGTAGCAGTTTACTTCTACTCTTTCAGATTTTTATTAATTATTGACAAGAGTTCTTCAATGCCTGTGTGTATTGATATCTGAAGGTATAAATATCTTTTTGCTCAAAAAATAAAATGTTAACAAATGAGTATTTTATTTCTTAATCTATAACTCCATTTGTAATAGCTCAATGGAGACATTATACAATATATTCACGTATTAGTCTAATGGAAAAGGTGCAGGGCTTGGAGGGGGAGGCATAGACTGGAATCTGAGTGTTAACATAGGACAGTATCAGGAAACATGATACCAAGTTTCCCTGGGACGCTGCTAATGCATAGTTCATGAATTTCCCTTACTATACCAGTGAATTGGAGCTACGAGTAGTAGGTAGTCTGAAAATTATTAGAATCTAAGAAAATTACTCCAATGTTAAATAATTGATTTCTATGATGCCTTAAAATGTGGCCATCCATGTGTGTCCAGAGCAGTGCCATGATGAAATAGCTGTTAACAGCTCCTCTGATATTATTATTATGGTCTGTCATGTTGATAATTTCTGTGCTAAATGATCCTTAGACATTTGCTGAAGCAATAGAATATATTTAAAGATTTCTTTAAATTGATAATTGTCTAGAATTGAAGCCTGCTTTGTTCTGTTAATTCTTTGTTGTCTAATAGGTTCTGAACTGGTCGTCTTCTTTGGCCTTTCTTTTTATCAAAAGAGGCGACTGGCATTTGCTATTACTACGGTGATGCTTACCTATAAAACCAGTTTTCTTTCTAGTTTCTCTGCTTTGTCTTTGCTCAAGATAAAAGGTGTCTTTTAATGCAGCTGAATGTTGATGAAAAAAATATGTTTATTATCTTCATACTTTTATAGTATTAAGAAAAAAACAGCATTTCTTAAATAAAGGACCAATGTATTTACTTCTTTTCTTCCCCCTCTCTTCCCATGGTGGTATAGGAGCGTGTCCCCGACAGCCCTTCGCCTGCCCCCTCTCTCGAGGAAGGCCGAAGGCCTGGCAGTCACCCATCGTCACATCGCAGCAGCAGTGTGTCCAGCTCCCCAGCACGGACCGAGAGCTCTTCTGACAGAATCCGTAGGTCTCATACTTTTACTTGTCACCATTTTCAACTTTATTAGGTGCAGCTGGCTTTTCTAATCAAAATACCCTCATTCCAAGTAGATCTCAGATGTATCATGTTCTGAAGCTCTGTAGCAATAGCCATCTCTCAAAATTATGTTTCCCAGTTTGCAATATCATGAGGTATGGTACTACATTAACAGGTTCTGATATAAGCTCCTTCGCCTTGATGCCACACATAAAGCTTTGAGCTATGAAACAGAAAGTAAGTAACCTAGATTAGTTTCTGAAGTAAACACCTCCAACTGTCAAGTATCTAGTGTCTAAGTTTGCTGCTTATGGATTATTCATCTTTATTCCTTCAATCTCACTCCTGCCTTTTTAATTGAAATTAGCTAATTTTTAATATCCTCCCTTGTATTGAGAAAGATATCTACAAAGAAGAATAAGAAAAATAAATTTCAAAACAATTAATTTTTTTAAAAATATTTCTTAAGCATTCAAATGATCAATAAATTAGAATTTGAAATTGGTTAAATTAAAGGATTTGAATTAGTAATAGTCAATAATGCATATCATTGTCATACACTATTATTATTAAATTCTAAAAAGTAAGGCTATATATTATTTCATGATCATATTTTCATATATTTAATCTTGATCCCCATGTCCAAGAAAATGAAGAGTAAAGTTAAATTGCCATTCAATTAATGGGTTATTTTTCTGCCCATACAAGAATTTGATATTGTTTTTTTCAATCAAATGAATATATTAACAATGACTCTTTTGGTTATAAAGCCAATATTTATTGTATTCTTTCCCGGATTTAGTTATTACTTTCTAAAATAATATTTATTATAAACTTCATCTAATTACACAAAATTTATTGATTTTTTTGTTTTATGAAGCAGAAATCCTCAGTATGGGTACTACTGAGGTGGATAACTTAAAAATTAAGTTGAATTATATGTAATAAAATTATCTTTAAAATTATATAGTTCGATGAAATTCCAGATATGAACACCTGATTTGGCCTGTCTACAATATATTTTCCTAATTCTGTAAGAGATGATTTTATCTGTTTATTAATAAAAATGAGTATATCACTTGATAATCATTCCCAAATCAATGCTATTTCTGGAGCTGGTAAATTCCAGCTCCCACTACTTCGAACCATTTTTCAAAGAAAATATTTTCTGTAGAATTTTGTGTTATGCTCACACTAGAATCAGAAGCTTAATGTCAAATATTTTATTTCTAATGCTTTTATAAAATATTGTCATTAGAAAGTCGCTGTCCTTCTAGAAAAATAAAAAAATATGTTTTGTACAACTTAAATAGAAATATGGGCAAATAGGAAAAGATTCGAAAGAGTTTCATTACACATTTATGTTTTTTAAATTACTCATTCTGTTCTTGTTTGTTTTTGATAAAAACAGAAGAGAAAGTTTTACATGCATGATCTACAATAATTGTTCAACTGGAAATAAATATATAGACTAGCACACATGCATACACACATCTATATATACATATATGTACATATATGCATACATGTGCATATATATATGCATTTATTTTAACATACTATAGAATAATTTTAGACAGACATAAAAATTTCAAAAATAATGTAGAGGAATCTTGCATACCTATCACCCAGATTTACACAATCAACTGGCCTCCCTGAAAGATACCCTGATTAGAAACATAGTGCACCTTTGTGTCCTTATCATAGCATCATGCTTCTTTACCTCAAATACTTCAGTGTTTATTTTCTATAAACAAGGAATTTTTCTTATATAACCACAGAACAATGACCAAAATCAGGAAATTAAGACTATTATAGTTCTAGTCTCTAAACTATAAACCCTATTTAAATCTCTAACTTTCCCACTAATAGTTTTTTTTCCCTCACTAATATTTTTAAGAACAAGAGATTCCACACCGCCCCGCTTCCAGTCCAAAAACTAATCCAAGATAACATGTTATAATTACCTGTCATATTCCCTTAGTTTCATTAGTTTGAAACAGTTTCTCAGTCTTTTTGTTTTTCAATACTTTTACATTTTTGAAGCATTCAGGCCATTAATTTTGTAGAATATCCCTCGGTTTGGAATTTTTTGATGTTTCCTCATGATTTGACTTAGGTTATGCATTTTTTGCATGAGTCATACAGATGTGATAGAGCATCCTCAGTGCATCAGTTTAGGAGACATGATATTTCTCCAGTATTTGTGATAACTATAACTTGGTTAAGGTAGTAACTACTAGATTTCTCTACTGTAAACTTTCTTTTGTTTAACCTTTAATATAATAAGTACCTTGTGAGGAGATATCTTAAGACTGTAAATATTATGTTCTTCATCAAAATATTATGTACTTCATCAAGAGTAGTGAATTCCACTACTTTTAGAATTAGCCATTGAAGATTCTTCCCTGAAACCATTATTACTATGGTGATTTCTAAATGGTAATTTCTAACATAACATTATGATATTTTAAAAATCTCTATTTTCCAGAAAAGTATGGTTTTATGGAATAATTCTTTTTCTAAATTTTTCCAAGAATTTCATGACCAATTTATTAAGGAATTTATTGACGAATTGTGAAAACCATTAGTGTATTTGATCATCTACTTTGTCATTTCAATAGTTACTCTTAATTGTTCAAGAAAGTAATTATTGTTTTTAATCACTCAGCCAGTTGATAGATATTAGTTGAGCTCTTTTGTTTTTAATTTGAGTTCAAATCCAATTTTTTAAAAAGTATTTTGATATCTATGAAACATTGTGTTTGACTAGAATATAGATATTAAAACAGTTATTTCAGTGTTGAAATCTCCATTTACTCTCTCGAGCCACCAGAATTAATTTATTATGTTTTAACTTCATAGTGTTAAAGAACATTCTAATGCTAAGACTGTAGTTCTTCAGAGTTAAGGAAGGAAGGTTATATAGTAGGAAGAGAATGTGAAGCACCAGATAAAAGCTTGACTACTTCATTGGTAGTGGTCGTAGTGGTATGGCTGTTCATTAGTATTCCAGACCTTTTTTTAAAAAATATATTTTATGTGAAATAAAAATAAGATAAAATGGTTTTATTTTGAGTATTTTTCTGTTTATCCTCAAGAATGATCATGGTTATCAATTCTTATGGAGTCCTTAGGGATAGATAATAGTTTTAAATTTAGACCATTATATTTTATTTTGTTTTGAGTCCAGAAGTCTAAATAATTTATTCAAACATTGTATGTTATGGTGTTTTTTCTTTTGTTTTGGGCTTGGCAGCTGTTCATCAGAATGGGTTGTCCATGAACCAGATGCTGATGGGTTTATCACCCAATGTACTCCCTGGGCCCAAAGAGGGAGATTTGGCTGGTCATGACATGGGACATGAGTCGAAAAGGATGCATGTTGAAAAAGGTAATATATGATTATGTGGACTTGTTTATCCTACTCAACATATGAACTAGATTTTAATCACAGAATGAGGTATATTTTTAGATCACATAAAAAGATAGCATACAAACATTTAAAAAACTTACAGTATTAAGTAAAAATTAAGCCTACTCAACAAAAAAGAAGTATGAATGAAGACCTCCCGCTTTCTCTTATACAACAGGTAGGTGATAATTTATTTTCCAGTACATTAAAGAAAGAGAATTGTTTGTTTTAATTGTTATCTTGGGGTTCCTGAAGGTCTGTTTGTCTTAATGCCTTATAGGTTAATGGTCATTTCATTTAAAATGATAGGGCAACAATAATATACACAAGATTAATGTGAATATTTTCAGATTAAAAGACACGTGGTCCAATCAGGAAACAGAATTGAATCTTATCGGTCAGTGTACTAGTACTTGTTTCAAAAGTGCATGTAATAAATGACAAAGCCCAGACTGTGCAAAGTTGTGAACGTTTCCTATGTATATTTCATTTTTTTATCAGCGTAACACTAACAGGCAAAAATTTTTATTTTCATGCTTTATTTCATGAAGTGCTTTCATGAAGAAACTGAAACATTTTAGTATGCATGTTGGAAATTTATGAGCTGTGAATGAATATAGGAGCTTCTCCACATCTTTTTCATCTTAATATATTAAAATTTTATGAATATAGACTGTGTACTTTGACCATCTTTTTTGATGCGAAGATCAAATCATCAATGTTATGAAAATGGTTATTTCTTTGGAAAACATAATAAATCAATAATTAATTTACTGTCAAAAAGGAAAATAAACACAATTGGACATTTAAATAATTAATCAGAAAACATTGATTAGAGAAAAACTAAGTTAAGTTGGGGTAACTTTTTTTTTCCCAAAAAAAGACTATTCACAAAAAGTAAAAATGCTTACAATGTGCAAACAGTTCTGCTGAGCCCTTAGGGAGAAGGAATACAAAATTTCTACAAACTCGATTATCTGCATTATGAAATATCAATGAGAAAATGATAATATTTTCAGTTGCTAATATGTCAAAATCTGGCATAATTGAGAACACTATTTTCTAAGTATTTATTTCAAAATTTGATATTAGGTATCATTACTAAGCTGGGTGACCTGTATGTAGTGAATTATTGGGCCAAATGGTCTCTAAATGTCTAGTTCTAATTTTCCCACAAGTTCTTCTTTGACAATGAATAAAAATGTTATATATATATTGTGCCTTATGTGTATTTTTACATATACATTTTATATTTAATCAAAAACCTATTTGAGGAAACATGAAAATTAACAAGTAAAAAACATAAAGTTTCATGGAAGATTTAAGTAATAATACTTAAATATAAGAATTCATTGTTTGGGTTAAGCAGCATTTCTCCACCAGAGTTCTTCAAAAAATAAAGCCCTACAGAAAATGATTTCTCAATTTTCCCATGGATACCACATAGCTAGTTTCACTTGAAATGCATAGAAGTTCATTTATAATATATAGTTACTATCAAGCTGTTAGCGCTTAATTCCCTTGCAGGACTTAATTCTCCCTGATGGAGAAGGGCTGATGAGAAATACAAAAGCCCAGAGCTCATAGTGAGGAAAACACCACTAAAGGCATGACCAATAACACAACTGAAATAATGGATCTCACTGGAAATTTTGGTAGAGAGCTTTCTACAACCTGGTGTTTCAAGTTGAGTTGACTTATAATTTTCATAACAATTTTTTATGAGTCATCAGTTGTATCCATTTTCTATTCGTTATTATATGTTATTTGTTATTATGATTTTGCCACCATGGAGCCTTTCCTGAAATACCATACTAGATTGATCTAGGCACTCCACTCCCTGTGTGCCTGCCCCCCAAAATTCATTTCAACATTTGCCTTATTATTTGGAAGTTATTTCTTCATTGCTCTGCTTCTGGTACTAGACTGTAAATTTCTTGAAATCAGCTGAGTATTACATTTGCTTTAAGCAGACTAGACAATCTAGAAAACTGGGCCAACTTACTAGAGGATTCTAAGAGACAGTGAAGGAAAGTTAGAACAATTGTAAATCTTACACTCTTTTAAGGATTAATAGAAAGGCAAAGGTGGAATTGTCTAACCCTTAGAATGTACATTTATATGAAACATTAGAATGTTCTGACCATGAATATACACAAAACCTTTCTATATCATTAACAGTACTTTTTATCACATCAAAGTTTTTAAATTGGTTTTATTGTCAGAATAAAGACCATGATCATATCCCTACAGTTTTCCAATATTTTAATGTATTTTTTATGAAGAGAAATAAGTTTTTATTTCAATATTCTCACTAGGAATATAAAACTACCACTAAACTCATCTTATGATTTCAAATGTAGTTTTGTAATCATAGAAATTATAATAGATATTGATACCATTATAGTAGGTGTTCTGTTATATGTTGCTTTTTCTCTTGCATGCACTCTCATCTATTTTTCAACATACTGAATTAATAGTAAATATTCATAGGCTTTCTAGATTGATAGTGTCTACTAAATTAAAAATTGTTTTCTTTCATAACTACATTTATCATGTGCCTTGTGCTAGCGCTGTAACTTTCTTATGACTTTTAATTTATATTAAAACAAGTGACTTCATTTAGAGACATTTGTAAAGAAATTAATTATGTGTTTGTGTCATTTTAGGCTTAGACTTCTTATATGTACTATGCTGCCTACAGCTTTAAATCTTTCAAAAGCTAATAATTTTAAAGAAAACATTGATATTAAAAATAGATACCAAAGTTAATTTGTATGTTGAGAATTACTGTGGTCTAAAATTTTAAACATCGGTAACTTTTAAACATTTGTAAATATTCTTAATATTAAAAAGCTATTGACTCGACTCTATTAGATAGAATATTTAAGTCATGATAGCTGAAGGACTAGTGGCTTTACCGGCATTAGAATTCAGAAGTACTAAGTGCTGAGAAAATTCACTCCTTACTTTTTAAAATGAAAACACTCTAATGGGTTTTAGAAACTAGAGAGAGTTTAATTAAAGTACATTCAAAATATAAATATAAAAAATCAGTTAATATATTAAGAAGTATAGACATTAATATTGTTTCAGTCATCCTCAGTGTAAAGAGAAAGGCTTTTAGTACTATGAACTTTAACTATAACTTAGAGTTTGTCAAAAATATGTGCTGGGGAAAACTGTGATACAACTCATAGCAACAAAACTTTCTGTCTTCTAACTTTTCTGAAGAAATACTAAGTTTTCTAGAGCTTTCTGGATTTAAAAAAAAAAAAAAACCCAAAGTGTCCGGTCTTTTCCCTCAGTCTAAATTTATTGGAATAGGCAGTAATAACTGACATTTGAATTATAAAAATAGGCCGCCTCTTTCTCTATGCTGCACGTCTCTAGCCCCCACTTATTTGTTCATTAATGATGATCTGTAGTGTTACTCTCTCATGCATAACTTGTTTCTCAATTTTTCTTAAATTGCTGCTATTTTTAACAGTTTTGAGCATGTTTTGTATCTTGCATGTAGTTTCATATATACATATTTGTTATTATTGAATTTATCTAATTTTTATTTACCAGAAATTAAATATATGACACAGATAAGCCTATAGTATCAGCTTTTCAATTATAGATAACTTAAGCATTTATAGTGAAACTAATCACTGAGTACCTATTTTATGTTAGTTATTTCAGTCTTGGACTAAGTTTACCAAAATGATGTAATCAATCGGTAAATATTTACTGAATGCCAGATATGTAAAATAAACTTTCTGAAATGCAAATTCGACTCCCTCTCCCCTTTGCTATGATTGTACAGATTATGTTTTCTTAATATGTACTCTAATTTTCCCTATAGTTGAGGCTTTTCTCTTTATTTTTTTCCATAAAAAATATAAAAACTTTCATTGGTGACTACTGCAGGACTCTTTCACTGATGACCCTTGCCATTTTAGAAGCAGGAATAATTTAATTGAAGAATCAGGAAATACAGGGGGTTTACTGCAAGCCATGAAGTATTTCTTTTGTTATATATTTTTTATTTTAAATATTTTTCTATTTTATAATTACAGTTGACATATAAGATTATATTAATTGCAGTAGTACAGCATAGCAATTAGACATTTATTTACTTTAGAAAGTGATCATCCTAATAATCTTTTGTGACATATTCTACTTGGTGTTCAGTGCTCAAGATTTCCAGTGATTAACATACTTGTGTAAAATGTTTTCCTTTTGGTACCTGAATTTGTAGGCAGAGCACTAAGGGCAGCAAAGCAGTTAGCAAACTGGCCTTATTGGGATTTTATCTCTTGTTGTTTTATTCTTAGCATCCAACCTGTTGACTGTTTTCTTACAAAACTCTTTTATATAAATCACTATGCTATCATTTTTCTCGAGCTTTTGGAAATAATTTTTTCAAAATATATTTCTTTTTGCACATATCTCATTGTTCAAAAATTTTAATTTTACTCAAAATTAAGATTGTGTTCAAATGGCTTTTTTTTAATTCTAGATGGACATTACACAAATCAATTAATAGTAAATATTCTATACAAAAAATATAAATCTGAATTTGATAGTATCTCATGTAGATATGCATAGAGTGAAAGCCTCTTTATACATTTTTATATTTTGATAATGTTAATACATTATGTAAGGCCATGAATCTTTTCCTTTTTTAAATTCTCCAATGTGCAACTCCTCCTTCACTTTTATTCCTTAGATGTAATTTCTCTTGGCATATCTCAAAATCTCTTATAAAATATTCTCCTTAAATACCTACTCATGTGACTTTGCTCTTCAGTTTTCAAGCCTGAGAAATAAAGGTGTCGAACTTAACGCAGATGCATTTAATTCTGAGATTCTTAACACTAGACAGTAAATTTCTCTGAATCCCAGAGCTCTTTCTTAAGTAGATGTCAGATTTCACCTGCAAAGCCACAGCTCAGGTGAAACTTTCTTAAGGCACTAGTTTAATTATTTTA